GGGGTGAGAGGCTTCACCAGAGACAGAGTGGGGAGCAGAACAGGCAGATCTACAAAGCACACTGCTGAGGGGAGCAGTGGACAAGACAGGAGAGGTCTGCAGGGCCATGTGTGTCACCTCGGGGGAAGGGGGTTGAACTCTCACGGAAGCGACTGTGGCCAGTTTGCAGTGCAGTGTCCTAACCTGGAGGCCCCCCCTTTTTCTTTTTAAATATATTTTTTTATGCATAGAGGAACTGTGGTGTAGGCCAGAGATGGGGAGTGAGAGGACTCACCAGAGATCAAGGATGGATCCACTGAAATACACTGTTGAGGGTAGCATCTGGCGAGACTGTACCATGTGGGTCCGCAGTGGCTGCCTGTGGCTTCATAGCCCTAAGACAACCCCTTGCGCCACCAGGGAGGCTCCCTGGTTTCTACTTCTGTGCCCTGTCTGCTTTATCTCTTCTCTTGGGCTCTTGCCAGTGTCAGAACACCTGTGGGAGCCTGATGAAGATTTTGGGTCTCTTCATCACTCCTGGGTGCTCACTACTGGGGCAGTGGTTGGACTTTTGAGATGACATGGACATCCTTTGTTCTCTGAGAGACAAGGTGTGTTACATAAGTAAAACGTTTTTGTGGTTCATGGGGTAAAAGTTTTAAGGCTGTTTCTGGTCCCTTACTTGAATTTTTTTTTTTTAATTCACCAATGAGTAGATATTTAATGCCACTTCAAAGTGGTACCACCTAAAAGGGATTTGTAACTATCTGAAAAAAGTTGAAACAACATGTGGCATTCTTTGGTTTGGTGAATCCTTTAATGAATCCTGTAAAAAAAAAATAAAGATAGCATTGCATATACCCATTCTTAATGAGATGAAATTATAATGGAAATATTTCCATCCTTCACTCCTACCCAAAGCCTGTTTTCTTCCTTTTCCAAGTCCCTGACAGCTTTCTGCTTTCTGCCTGCTGTTTGGTTATTGCTGCCACCTACTGTCTCTAAATAAAATTGCAGTGGGGATCCTTTCCCACGAAGATTTATACTGTTGTGCAGTTTTTATGGAAATAGCTACTTGAGAGCAGTAGTTGTTTTTCTCTATATTTTTAAATAATAACATTCTGAAGTGATTACTTATTGTGGAGACATAATGGATACATATTACCCCACCAGCAAAAGATCCAACCAAGAAAGCAAGAAGGGATTTAAGAGCCCTTATTCCCAGAACCTGACAAATTGCCGGTGTGACCTTGGCATGTACTTCCCCTCATGAAATCAGGCTCAGTGCTCTGAAAGATCTATTCTTGATGTAACATTTTTTTCTGTGTGTAATTTTGATTGTGAAAGCCTAGCTCTTATCCATGATACTCTTATTTCTTTGGGCTAGAATTCTCAGTGTTGCACATGTTTTCCTTTAGAGCTACATTAGATAGATGTCTGTGTTCTTCTTTGTGTGAGTAGATAATTTTGAACACTTTTCTTTGCTCAGTTAGCAGAGACAGAATTGAATATTTTCTCTTGTTAATACAGCCTTGACCAGAGTAGCCCTTCCCTGTTTGCTTAGGTATTGGTGAGCTCTCTTTCCTTTACTAGGTACTTGTACTTCATGTAAGATTGCAAAGTTAACTGTGCTGCTTGCCAAGTTTTAGCTTTTAAAAGCCCAAACCTGGATTTTTGAAAGATTATAACTACGCTCTCCATCCTCTTTAGCATTTTGACATAGATCATTAATATTTCTATGGTGTAGGGCTCACCCTGGTCGCACAACGGTTTAGGACACACCACTGCAAGCCAGCTGCAGCGTCTTCAGTGTGAGTTCCATCCTCAGCCCCAGGGGACCCACATGGCGCGGCAGACCTCTCCTGACCCGCCCGCTGCTCCCCTCAGCAGTGTACTTCGTCGATCTGCCTGTTCTGCTCCCCACTCTGTCTCTGGGGAATCCTCGCACTGCCCCTGCACCTCTGGCCTGTACCCCAGTTCTGTATGCATAAATAAATCTTCAAAAAATATATTTCTATGGTGTAGATAGAAACCTGAAAACAAAATGTTTTGTAGGTTTGGGCAGGGGAAGAGATGGTGCTCAGGGTCCTTTTCTAAGCATCCTAAGAGTATTTATAATTTGGCAATCTTTCGTCAAAGATTGTTTTATCTGAAACCGATGTGTAAAGGAATATTTTGTTTCTGTGTGGGCCTTTTAGCTGGTAATTTGGTTATTGCCTGTTTCTCATAGTTCCACTGAAAGTTAGTTACCCTTTATACTTCTGTAGATGGTTCAAGCAAAGGCAAGTGAACACAACACCTCACCTCCAACTAGTTCTGACTTAATTGGTAACAGATCTTTTATAGAATTCCTAGAACCTCTGGTGGGTGGAGAACCTATTAAACAAAATAAAAATAGATTTGGACCTGCTGTTATTAATTATGTTTCGATACTATCCCTACCCAGTCGGCAGGAGCCCTAATTAAATAGAGTTTGCTTTGCATTATCCTTTGCTTACAGATTTTCAGACAGTTCTCACTGCTCTTGTGTAAGCCACATTGCCTGAATGGTGTAAGTAAGATCTTGAGACTTACGGCTTCAAGTGTCCAGCTTGCTGCTAAATATAGAGTCCTTATTGAGACCCTTTGAATTACAAATTGTGTTGGTCTATTAGAAAAGTTACTGTTACTATTATCAAGTTTGCCTGACACAATTCCTTATGAGCTTTAGCTGACTGATTATAATTTCATTACCTTTTTGCTACTGGAAATTTTCTGATCCTTTACAGTTTTATTAAACATTGCTATCAGATTTCTGTTTATTATCCAGTTATTACTGATGCTTTTTTTCTGAACTAAAGTCTGGATGGAGGCATACAGTGGCTTTAATGCCATGGTTAAGAGCCCAAACCCTGCAGTCCAATTTCCTGAGTTTGCATCCCAGCTTCACTTTGTCCTGTCATAATAGCAGCAAGTTATTTAACTGCTATGAACTTCAGTTCCCTAATATGTAAAAGAGAAGTAATAATAGGAACTATCTAATAGAGTTTTTATGATTATTAAATGTAGATAGATCATATATTTCACTATTTATTTAAATTCTAAGATATGTTGAAATTCATATTTTATTCCTGCAAATGTTTCCTTTCTGGGTTGGTCTTTGTCTTTTCTGGGCTAAGGAACACCATAGAATAATCTGAATATTGATCATACATAAATTTATTTGTACCTTGTGCCTTATTTTAGGGCTCCACTCTTAGGTTAAGTGATTGAGAAGGGAGATCTCAGGAAGATGAAGACACAACCTTGGCTTTCAGGGCTCTTTGGCCCCTTAGGGGTGGGTGGTTAATGGGAACATTTATTCTGACCCACTCTGCTCACCTCCACAGACACTGTCCCTACTTCCCAGGTGAGGTCAGATTTGCCAGGAATAGGCTCACATGGCACCTGCCTTGTGGAGGGTCTGTCTCTTCCTACGGGATAGTATTTGCCATGAGACCAGGAAGTGCCTTCTGTGTGTTTCCAGTTCCTAGCACATACTTTGTATGCAGGTATATGGCAGATATTTGTTGAATAATCAAATGAGCTCTCATTTGTAGCTGAAGAAACAAGATGCATGTTTTATGTGACTTACCTCCAGTCACCGTGTATTTCTCCAACTGTAGTAAGTAGAATGCAAGTGTCCAGTTTCCTGCTATAGTAGTTGTTGCTGTTTCTAGTAAACTAAGAAAATGTGTGATCTGGAGATGGGGCCAAGCAATAGCTGCAAGGAATCGGAGTAAAGCAGCACAGTACAAACCCACGTCCAGAGAGTTATGGAAATTAAAGGTGGGTTTAAGTCTTTTTGTCGGGGTTTGGGTTCAGGAAAGTTTAATGAGGGAAGACACATTTGAACTGTACAATATGGAAAGATTTTTGGATAGGAAGGTCTGGGAAAGGTCATTCAGCTGGTAACAGTATTTCATGTCATCACATTCTTTTAGTCTTGATATCTTCCGTGCCATTCTATCAGGAAATCTGTAAACTATATGCTAACCAGCTAATGATCTTGTTTATCTTGTTTTATTTCAGTGAACAATGTGGGGATGTCATATGAGTATCCTGAATACTTTTTGGACATTCCTGACTTGGACAATGTGAGTCTTTCCCGGTATATTGTGGCAGCAGAAAGACCCTATGCAGGTGTCAGTGAGGCAGTGTGGTCCAGCCGTGATGACTATGAAGAATCTAGAGTCCAAGTGCATGAATTGCATGCCTGACTCTTCTTCCTGCTACCTGAGTTACCCTCGGATGATCCTAGGATGATCCGTCTCTTGCTCATAAATTAGACAGCTTCATTGGGTGTTAGAGGGATAGAAAGCAAAATATTTATAACCTCAATTGTACAGTGCCAGGTTCAATAATAACTCCAGTTTTATTATTCTTATTTTTATTATATCAATGCAGCTCTATTTTCAGTATCAGGATTCTAAACATCAATTTAAAATTCATAAATATGTTAACCTACAGCAGTTATGGTTGATTCAGGTAAACTAACTTGACTAAAATGAAGGCTATAGCTCCGGTGTATGCATAAATCTTTAATAAAATCCAGAAAAGCCTGTCATTAAAGGACTATGTAAATTCTTTCAAATTGTTGAAAAGCTTAAATTCAATAATTTCTCCTTTCATATTAGCCAAGAGGAAATGGCAAAGTGCTTGTGCTTATTTTAGATATAGTATGTCTTTCTGCTCCCAGATTTTACTTGCACATAGACCTTGGATTTTGTATTTTAACATAAATTGCTGCTGTTGGTAGAAACATAGCACTGAGAGTGAAATAAACTCTGCCTCTCCACCCAACTGACATCATGGTCACTGCTATACTTGGGGAAAATTTCAGTGCATCTTTAGATCATCTGTATCTATATATAATACAGTCAACTTCCATAATCAAATCTATATAAAATTATCAATTTTTTTTGCAGACCATCAAGAAACTGATAAATATTAATGTTCTTTCTGTTTGCAAGGTAAGCAGATTCTTCACAAATATATCATCCTTTTAGTTTCTATTTAAAAATATTGACATAATGACTCGTTCACTGCTTATTTCCACACAAATACATGTTACTGGTGGAAGGAGTTTGTGACTTCAGCATGTAGAAACAACTGCATATTAAGCAAGTGTTTGTATTGCTTTGCTTTTGAACAACTGAATATTTGTTAAATGCCTACCACGTGCAAACTCAGTGATAAACCCCAGGGGAGTGCCGGAACTCAGTTAACTTAGACTTGGAGTTGATTTCCACAAAGTTTCCATCCAGTGGCAACTCATCACTGACCTATTGTTTCCTTTTTGTATTCCTTGTGATAAGTCAGTTGATAACTTAAATAGTGCAGCAAAGCATTCTGTGGGGTATATGGACTATCAAGAAATGAGCAATTATTATTATTATTTTAGCTATGCATATTAACTACTATAGTTTCTAGTTGCTTTAGAGCCTACTCATGTCACTAGTATATGCTGACAAAACACTCCACAGCCCTGAAAAGGTGCTGAAAAGAAGAATGGCTAGTAATTATGAACGTATGAGTACCATTTCCCCCTTCCATTCTAGCTGTGATTATGCTAAGATGCCATTTCCTGATTATACGTAACAGGCCAGCAGAAAACTTTGAGGCAGAATTTCCATAGGTGTGACATCAGATATTTTAAATTTGAACCTACTGATGGAAAACCAAATTTATTTTCAGCAACACTCTTGTACTAGTTTACTTAAGGAAATCAAAAGGCATTTAATGTAAAACAATTCATACATTCAAATAAGAACCTAATGGTTAATTTTCACATTATGGCTTGGTCTTTAGCTTTTCCTCTTTTATGTACTCTGTCTTCACATCCTGAGAAATCCTAAAACCTAGTGACCGTAAGTTCAGTGACCCCAAAAAGCCTATGTCATGTCTATGTTTTCAAGTGTGATTGTGTCTCCTTGTCCATTATAAGTATTGCCTTTAAATTGCTTAGTTAATTCAGTTTTTGTATGATTTTAGCAATATGGTTGCCTAAGGGAAAACTGTGGCACAACAAATGATACTTAGTAGCTTGCTGTTTAAAAGCAGCTCAAATGGCGTCTATTCTAAAATGGCATTCGTTTATGAAACAAAGTCACTATGTCTTTTCCATTGTTACTAATCAGGTTTTTACTCATGTGAGATTCAGTCTTAGTGAGGTAAACTACTAACAAGTGGTTCTCTTGGTTTTAGAGCAAGACCCAGACACACAAAATTGACGTTTTTGACATGTTAATATGAATATATCTGTGGAGTCTTCAAGATAACTCTCTTGGCATATTTTATAAACGTAATTATTTTCTAATACTCCATAGGTGGTTTCAAGTTAATTAAGTCATTCCACCATTTACTACTTATGTGACCTTGAGCCAGTTACTCTCTGTGCTTCAGTTTTTCATCTGTAAATTAAGGCTGATAATTCCCTTTACTTCACAGAGGTGTTACATGGAAACCACTCAATGCCCAGATCCTAGGAAAGGCTTTAAGAAAATTTTACTATTATTTTGTTAACTCAGAACTAGGATTTTAGTGTTTTTTTTTGTTTTTTGTTTTTTTTTTAAATTTGATCAATGCATTTGTATATTGAGATAACACTGGTTTAATTTAGGGGAATATGTTTTCACCTCCTCAGATGCCTGTCACCCCACCACACCCACCTCCAGAACACCCCTGGTTCTGTACTCTGAACTTGGGCTCCCTCCCCACTTTGTTACACTCCTAGCTTCCTTCCTCTCTAGTAACCCCAATTCTGCAGTCATTTCTAGGGTTTTTTTCTGGTTTAGTTTTTATCAGTGTCTCTGTTTTGCTGCACTGTATTTCACATTTGCGTGAAATCATATGGTATTGATTTTAGTTTTTAGCAAGCAAAGCTTTTGATTAAAATTAATCTCACTTCTAGTCTTTAGTTTGTGGTCTTGTGGTTTTGCCTTTTGAAATGACTGGTGTGTGTTACTGTTTTGATAATCTTGTCTAGTACATTTGGCCAGTGCTTAAATATAATGAGTGTTTAAACCATATACTTGTTTCGTAATGTCTTATAGTACGTTAGTGATAAAAAAAATATGTTCAAGTGTTTAAATTTTGTTTTATTAAAAATGATTACAAGTAGCTATAAATTAGTTTCCTTATAGTTTTAACTGCTCGGTCAGACAAGCTTCTAAGGTTTTCACATGAGGTATGTTAGCATTTTCTCTGTAGCCTCCTGCTTGTCAGTACTTACAGGGTTACATACCTTATGGGGTGTATTCTGGCCTTCTCCAAAACATCTTTTCTGGCTTACAGACAACTGACGTTAGAAGGCTGATGACCTGACCTTGCTCTGTGAGAACGAGTCAGACCACACTCTGCACTCTCAGGTAGCATCTGAGCACAGACCGGGCAGCGCGTGCTTGTGGGGACACCCAGGTCCCCACTTAACGGGGAATAGTGCCCAGGGGTGTGTGGGGTGTGTTAGGCAAGGCAGCAGAAAATGCAGTAACACACTAGAATACTTTCAGGTTTTTAAAAATAATGATGAAATATTAATGAGGCACCAACACAGATTATAAAACGCTTCTTGTATCTCTTCAGTCTTCTTCCTCCACTTGTTATTTTTCATAGTGGCATCTACTCCTGTCCCCATGAAGCAAGCCAGTGGGAACAAATGCTACCTGGCCTCTCACATTGTGAGTCATGTTGATGGGAAGGGGTCACCTGCAGATGAGGCTTTAAAACTGTGTTTTGGGGCAAATCAGACTCCATTTACAAAGCACTAAGGGCATTTGCTCTTCAGTTGACTTGTTCATTAAGCCAAAAAAAAAAAAATCTTCCTTTAATTTGTCTTCAGTATGAACAGGAATTGTCCTATACCTTTGTGATGTACGCTTGTCATAGCAAAACAACTCAGAACTCTTACTAGTAAATTTGTTCATCACGGAGACGCTAACACCTGAGAACAGTCTGATTCTAGTTCTTGCACTGCAGGCAGGAGCTGTGCAGCTATCTCTGCAGTGTGGTCGGCTAGTGAGAGTTCTGGTGTTAAAAGTGGTTCGACTCTAACTAGCGGGAGGTGAGTGGGTGCCGTGGCCACCAGCAGGCCAGCAAGATCCACCAGGACACGAGTGTGCAGGATTGAGAGCTGTGCTCGAGAGAGAAGTGAGCTTGGAAGTCGAAATCCGTCTGTGCATCTGTGGCGTGAGCTGATGTGTGAGTCCGGTTGTTGGATGACTGGCAGTGTGTCTTGTAGCAGATGTGCGCATCTTTTTGACAGTGAGGTGAAGGTGTCACCTTGAAGGGGTGTTGCCTGTGACACTCAGGTGAGTGCCTGTGCGTGCTGCTGTACCTGGCCCTGTGATCTATGCTGCCAAACTGTGCCCCGTGTATAGGGGACTGCTGTATTGCCAGGGCAGGGCTCTGTGTAGAGTCACCGGTGGTCTTTGGAGTCCTGGGGTGACTTAAGAAGATGAAAATGGGCCTGGCTCTAGGCTCTTTCCAGGTCTTATGGTAGCTGGCCATGAGGGCAGTAAG